AAAAAAAAAAATTTTTTTTTTTTTTGTAGTACTAGGGCTCAAACTCAGGACCTTGGACTTGTGAGGGGGGTGCAGTATTACTGAGTTTATCCCTGGCCCTCAAAATTCTTAATTTCCCTTTCTTTCTGGTTTAACATTTTTTTTGAAAATGAACCCATTATTGTAACATATTCCTGTGGTACATCGCAATATTTCAATATATGCATATAATGTGCAGTCATCAAATAAATCAGGGTAATTGGCATATCCATTACCTCAAACACTTATAATTTCTTTTGTGTTGCAAAATTCTCTCTTCTAGCTATTTGAAATATATAACAAATTATTCTTAGGTATAAATTTCTGGTGCTTGAAGAGGGCCATGCATCTTTTCTTCTTTCTTTCTTTTCTTTTCTTTTTTTTTTTGAGACAGGGTCTTGCTATGTAATTGAGGATGGCCTCAAACTCACAGCGATCCTCTTGCTTCAGGCTCCTGAGTGCTGGGTTTCCAGACATGTGCCACCATGCCTGAGCCCATGCATCTTTTCTTTTTCCCCAGTCCTTACAAATTATGTAGCCAGTCCTGACCTGCCTTCTGTGTGACCAGGAGAAGCTCTGAGGTAGTGGTGGGGTTTGGAGCTGATCTCACAAGGTGGGAAGGATGAGCTGCAGAGCTGGGCTGAGCTTGAGGATGTGGCCATCCTAGTATCCAGCATGGCACAGCACCAAGTGCCTGCTCAGGGTGTGCTGTGGGGTGTCAGGGACTGGACACATGCATCCTAATGAGCCCTCTTGTAAAGAAGTGGGGCCCTAGGTGATGCTGCCCATGGGCTCGGCTGCTCCATGGGCAGAGGAGCCTGTGAGGGCTATGACCACAGGGCCCTTTTGGAAAGGCTGCCTCGCTCAGCGCACCAGAACCACACTCTTTTCTGTAATGTGCTGTGTGGACACCTCACAGGCCTGCTGGGATGCCCAGAGAAGGCAAATCCCAGGAAATGGCTCTGTGACCACAGAATAGGGGCTTCCTCACTGAGCTCAGTTTATCCTTGGTGCCAGGGGGTCCTCGTTTGGGGTTTGGTGAAGTCCGGGCACTCAGAGCCCATTCTCAGTGGTCTGGGGAGCAGCTGTCTGTTAGAGGAAAGGGTGCAGGGCCTGTAGGGAAGCAGCACATTTAGCAAATCTCTACTCCCTCTGCACTCTGACAAACTGTGCTTGGATTCCAGGCTTCCTCTACTTACCTACCCTGCATGCTTTACTTGTGTGGGTATCTGCAGTGCAGCACCATTGAGGGCAAAGTTTCAGGGTGGAGGCTGGCTCCTGTCAGAGGTGCTGGTGCTCTTACTGGGGACTTGAGGAGTCAGAGGAGGGAGGCACCATCCAGGCTGTTAGGGCTAGGCAAGAGTATGCCAGCACTAAAAATACAGGCAGGCAGGGAATACCCAGCAAGGGTGGAGAGGGCAGAGAGGGCAGAGAGGGTAGTATGTTTAGAGTGAGCACAAGAGTGGAGGGGAGGCTGGAGGCCGTAAAGTGCATGAATGTCCTGTGCACACTCTGTCTTGCCCACAAAAGAAGGGACCTCTGAGATGCACACACTGTAGTCTCTGTTACTCAGGAGGCTGAGACAGGAGGATCACAAATTCAAGGCTAGTCTGGGCAACTCAGTGAGACCCTATCTCTAAATCAAATTTAGGAAGGGCTGGGGATGCAGCTTAGCAACGGAATGGTTTGCATTCTCAGTGCCACAGGCAAGAAAAAGAAAAAGAACTGGGGGAGAAAGGGCCTTTGCATTGGAGGCACCAGGCAGAGATTTCATGCAGATGGCGGCCTCCTGACTCTATCCTGGACTGTGGCGGGGTTCAGGACTTCCGGCAGGAGGGGCCTGGCATTGCATTGCTTGTATGTGTTACACTGCCAGCATTCTCCTGCTCCGTTCTGTCTACTGGTCTCTGGCTCCCCTGTGAAATCCCTCTTCTTTCTCTGGAGTGAAGGGAAAGGTTGCAGTCTCTGGCCTAGTGTGCTCTCAGTCCTCCCCACAACTCTTAGCAGAAAGGCTGCAAGCCCAGCTATTGGAGAGAGTGATGAGTGGCAAGGGTCCTCTGTGACACTGGGCAACTTTCTTAACCTCTCTGGTCCTCAGTTTCCTTAGAAATGTATGTGGTGTGGCTTGGAGTTGCCAGCACAAAGGAGAATATGACAGAAAGGCTTGCGGGAGAGTCCGGTGTGAGCAGAGTCAGGAAACATGCTGCAGAGGAGAGGTGGGTGTGGGTGAGCAGCTCCTGGCTCCAGCTCTAGAGACAGGGTGCCCTGAGCTGCCCTGTAGGGGTGAGGGACAGAGTGCAGTTTCAGGGCCTGGCTGACTTTGACACCAGTGGGACACAGGGAAGTGGGTAGTTTATTAAAATAGCTCTTATTCCCCAGGTGCTCACCATGCCCTGGTGTCCGCTGTGCCTTACGTGCTCTGTGAGTCCCCAGAAGAGTATTCGGTGTGCAGTGTTGTCACTCCATCCTGCAGAAGTGGAAACAGAGCCTCAGAGCCCCCACCTGTGGCTCCTGGACAGCCTGGCTCCAGAGTCCCACAGCCTCACGCTGGGTACTTTCTGCTTCTCGCTGAGCCCCAAGGGACCATATCTATGTGACCCTCCTGTCCTGTGTGCCTTCACCAGCCTGCTCCGACCAACCCGCCACCCATGTGGGAAGCCTTCATCTCCAGGCCTGCCTTCCTGTCTTCGGGATGGGACAGCAGCCCTACATGATCCACAGAGGTGACAGTGTCTACAGGTCCTTGAGGATCACCTCTTTCCCCCTAATATCTTCGCCTCCGTTTATTCAGGACATGGTGGACATTGTTCTGACATCCAAGCTTAATCGAAAACCAAGTCAAGAGTCTAGAATGTTGGTACATTTCAAATATATTTTATTACTTTTCTTTTTGTCTTAGAAAGAGTATGAAATCTGCATGCAACGCTAATGATCTCCGACATTTACATAGCATATAAACCAGCAGGATGGTGCGGCCTCTGCGGACGGACAGCCTGCAGGGGGCGCTATGCAGAAGGTATGTACAAAGGAAAGGGTGCTGGGCATCCCAGCTTCCAAACCAGGGCACCCTGCTCCGGGTTTGCTGCATGGGGAGCCACGGACGTACCGCCGCTTCAGCACTGCACGTCCCACTGTGTGGAGGGAGAGAAACACACTTCGAAGGTTTCCCCTTGTCAACAGATTGTGTCTCCAGCTGTGCGTTGTGCGTGTATTTTAAAATGTTTGTTAAGGTTTTCGCTAACAGTGGTAGGAACCTCACTGCTTCTGAAGCATTACAAAGTGAAGCAGCGAACCTTTCCGAAACCCTCAGGTTGGAAAAAAGATCCAGCCACCTTCTTTAAGGGTCACTTGCCTCGCCCCCCACAGGATCTTGGAAATGTTTCTTAGACTGAAAAAAATGAACCGGAGGAATGAAGCGCTGAACTGTGTTCCTCTAAACACAGATGCAGAGAGACCTGCTCCTCCTGCTTGCCCGGCGACAGGGGCCACTGCAGAGTCACACTGCGGCTGTGACCGACCGAAGCCCAGGAGAGCCTGGCAGCTGTGCCGAAGGGGCCAGGCCCTCTGGGCAGAAGCTTTCCCAGCTAGGGTCGGAGCAGCACCGCAATGAAATGTCTCAACAAAGCTCATTGTTCCTCCTGGGCGCTTATAAAGCTCAGATGTGCAGCAATGTATGGACAAATACAAAAAAGCATTTTAAAAAAAGGAAAGGCATGAGTTTCCCCCCATTTCAACAAAAAAGCCGCCTGTGTTGATGTCTGGAGCGCAGGAGAGCTGGGTCTCACATCTGGAAGCCTTTCGCACACAGCTATAAAATGTAAAAACTGACCCTGGGTAAAAAGTGCTTCATAACAATATATAATTTGTGTCTTATGCCTGTGAGAAAGAAAGTTTTTTTTTTTTTTTTTTTTTTTTTTTTTTTTTTTTACCCAGCAAAGTCCTTTGCTCAAGTCTTGCAACTGGTCTGGAGTTTCCTATCAGAGATTTTTCACCCTATTCTTCATAGACCCTGGGAAGAGAAAACACAGGTGTTAGTGGCTCAGAACCTGATGCAGGCTCTTGTAGCTCTGCTGCTGAGTGGCTTCCTTTGGCCTGCGGGGTGCAGCCTCCTCTGAGGACTTCAGCTGGGGACGCGGGAGGAACATCTCTGGGGACATGATTGTGATCACGAAGGCCACCAAAGCTCACACATCTGGATTTGCCCTTTCTAATAAGCCTTCCCTCTACAATCCCATCTTATCTCCTCAAGGTCCTGTGTTGAAAACCCTCTTCTGTGTGAGGAAACTGAGGAGCCTCAAGACCTAAGCTGGGCTCAGTGACCATGGATAGATGGTGAAGGAGCCGAGTCCTCTCCAGCAGCTCCGCCTTCCATTCATCTGTACAGAGCCCCTCTCTTAGAGAAAGTAGCCACGGGTATGCTCTCTTCAGACTTAGGCTTCTCCTCCAGAGACGCGCCAGTGCTAAAAGCCTAAGGACAGAGGAGGGGTCAGCAGGGCTGGGGCTCCGAGGCGGCTGTGTTGTCTCACCTGACTAGTTATTAGGCATTCATGAGTCATCTTTCCCCTCACTCCCAAGCTGGCTCCACTTAGGTTTTTACATTTTCTTAAAAAAAATTCTGTCCCATGGCTGCCCCAAGTCCATACTTAGCACTCTGACGGCCCATCATTCCCTCTGCCTTGCTCTTGATTTCTAAGACCACCAAATTACGTGTTGAAGTAGAAAGTCTGATGTGGCTGTTTCCTGTGGCAGCCAGAAGCTCTGGTCTCTGAGATGCTCAGAACTTCCTCACAGGCCTGACCCTGCCTGTCCCCCAGCCCCACTCCCAAGAAGACTTCAAACAGTTCCTTTATCTCCATTCCACATTCATTGGGGCATTTTTTATCTTTTTACAGAGGAGGAGTAGAGAGCAAGGGCACGCTCCTTCCTCTCGTCAAACCTCAGCACCCAAGAGAGCAGGATGAACCCATGACGCAGTGAGAAGAGGGCAGGTCTGAGGATGAAGAGGTTCTCTCAGTGCAATTTGTAGAAGTGGAAAAGCAGGGCTGCTAGACTCACAGGCACCTCCTCGCCTTCAGAGCCACAACCCAGGTGCAAGGTGAGGGGCAAGGTGGGCACAAGGCTTGAGTGTCTCCCAGGAGCTAAAGTGAGATGTTCTCAACCCCTCCATTAGCTGGCTCTGGGTTTCCTCACTCCCTTTTGATGATGCAGGGCTTAGAGGGTGGCAGAGAGGGGAAAAGGCAGGTCCCTCTGTGAGCTGTCTGTTCTAAGCGGAAGGAGGGCACCATTCCCATCAGATACATAGAAAATAGTCCATCACCCTCATCACTCCCATTTCAGGCAACTGCAAACAAGGCAGTTTTGGAGGCAGCAAAAACAGGCTCAGGTGCAATAGCTGTAGGAAATCTGGTCTGAGGACTGGGCCTGAGGGAGAGATGCCTGGCCAGGTGGTGGGAAGGGGAGCCCAGTTACCCACTGGGGCTGACCCTCTCTCCTGGGGGCCTGGCTTTGTCCTGTGCTCCCAGGAAAGTTACTCTCCTCTGAGTCTCGCCTTGATTTCCCCCTTGTGTAGGATGAGGTGCTGGCACTGGGAAAGGTGACCACGAGCCCTGCAGGCTGAAGGAGTGGGCCATTTCTAGGATAGCTCACCTTTACATGATTCAGGGACCTGGGAAGTGGCCTCCCTTCCAGGTCCAGACCCGGACCACAGGGGTCAGAGCTAGGGTTTTCTGACTATGGGAAAATAGAGCCCAGGAGATGCTGGGGTTTGGTCCAGGGCACCGGCATTCTCACTGAGTAAGAGTAGTGCTGGTTTAAAGGATCAGACCCAGAGTCTCTTCTAGCACCTGCACAGGAAGGAATGTTGGAGAATCATGGGGCATCCTGGAGAGAATATGTTGGCAGAGTTACCCTCATCATCTCCTAGGTGCACCCACAGTTTTATGGTTAACAAAGTCAATAAGTGGTCACACTTCACCCCACAAGATCAGATCCACAAGGGACAGCCAGGCGAGGTACTTGCCTAACCATTTGATGGCTTATGTGACTTTTTAAAATGGCAATTAAGGCTATAATATGAAAGTTATAACGAAACAGACTTTAGGTCACAAAGAGATAAATCTTTAATATGTATACCTGTCCAAGAGAGCTGCAGCCTGCTTTGTGAAGTGGTGAGTTCCCTGTCCCTGGGGGTGTGTAAGCAGTGTCTGTGCATACTGTGGAGGGCACTCACATATTACATGGGGTTAGGTGACCTGATGTAGAGGGCCCTTCTCCTCCTGGGAGCTGCAGCCTGCTGGGGAGGAAGGGCGGAAAAGGGTGAGAGGGCGAGAGGCGGTGAGCGTACCTGCGCTTCTCACTCCAGGCGTTGTACCACTTGATGAAGCGCTTGGTGCTCTGCAGCTTGGGGTGCAGGCAGTGCTCCTGGCCACGGTACCTGGACATACTCTTGGTGGTGATGCTGAAATGGAGCGGGGTGGGGTTCAGGGTTGAGGTGGGCAATAACAGCCCCTCATGTGGCCTCCTCCTCCCTCCCTCCCTGGTGAGCTTTGTGTAGGGGTCTGTTGTCCCCTCAATCTCTGACTCCACATGAAGGCCTAATCCTATATGGAGTGAGCGGCCTTCCTTTCCCCCTGGAGTCCTCGGGGTCCCGGACAGTGTCCCCCAGGTCTACTGCACCACCAGCAGTGTGGTGTCCCCAGTGCTTGGAGCTCACTTGGGGAACATAGGTCTGGGGTTTTTCCAGGGATCAGAGGTGTATGTGCCAAGGCCTCTGCCCTGGGATTTCAGAAGCTCCACCGTGGGGGTAAGACATGCCCCAGCACTGAGGACACTGAGCCCTCATCCCCAGCTCCCTCCATCTGTCGCAGATTGTCCCAGGGATGGGCATTTGCTGATCCTGAAGCAAACTCTTGACCTTGAAGTCTGTTTGACGCTTGATAAAGTTATCTCATCTTTGGGCAGAGAAATAAGACCACCCTTCTCCATGGCTCAAAGATCTCAGGCATCTCTCAGCCTGTTCTGATACCAGGTGGATTCCTAGCCATCTATATAGTAGATGATGACCTTGTACAGAGTCTAGGGGCCTGGGTTTGAACCTCATGTTTGGCTGGGCCCTTGGATAACCTCTCTGAATCTGTCTGCCCATCTGCAAAATGGGTATAATGATAAGACCAACCTCATAGGGTTATTGGGATGATGAAAGGATGCAATCTATGCAGCGTACACAGGACTTGGTAGAGGCCCAGGGAATGGTTACTGTTATTAGTAATTGATCAAGGGGGCTGAGATAGCTAAGGATAAAGATAAGGCTAGTGAGTGAGTGTTCTAGCCTGGAGAGGAAGTGAGCTTAGGGCCAGCCAGAAGGATGGCAGGAGTCAGGAGGAAGGATGGAATTCAAGAATAAGGGACCACCCAGCACAGGCAGAAAGTGCCCAGTTATGGTGAGGATGCGATCTCCTGAGGTTCATAGCAGAGTAGGTAGAGGTGAGAGGGGAGAGAGTGGGAAGTGAGGCAGAGGTAGCTCATCCCCACAGTCTACCAAAGATGGAGCATCAAGGCTCCCAGGTCAGGTTCTAGAAAGGGGCAGGCAGGGTTGCCATGAACACAGCCTCCCCATCCACGAGGAGACGAAAGGAGATCTTGCCGCCAGAATGGGGGCAGAATGGCTCTGGGTGACCTGTTCTCTACTTCACACCGTGCTCTGAGTTTCTGGTTCCCCACCAGGGCCTAGACAACCTGGGCAAGGGTCGGGTCCTCTGATACCGCTGGGTGACTGGGCCCTGGCTTCACTGGAGTCCTCCTGGAGACGGGCGGCTCTTTCTGGGCTTGAGCATGGAGGCAGCTTCAGAGTGAAATCGAGCTTGTTCCCTCCCCAAGGTCCCTGGTCACCCTCAGGAACTCAGCACATGGACTTTTCTCTAGACCTGCAATGCTGCTTATGCACTTGGAGTGAGCTGACATGGCAAAGCCTGATAAAAGTCCCCTTCTCGGGTCAGCATGCAGGTGGAACACCCCAAATCCTGAAGGTCAGGAAAAGCAGGAAAGCAAGCTAAGCCCTCCAACCACCGTGCTCACATTCTGCATCACGGTACCGAGATTAGGAAAATTAGTTGTGGAATGCAGACAGGAAGATTCACGGATCTCAGCAACTGTCAGAAATTCTGGGTCCAGCGTCCCTCTCTCCTCAGTAGTTCTAGGATGTTGAGGGTTTTGGGGGAAAGCTCAGGGACATATGACTCAAATTGCTCTTTCTAGAATTTTGACTCTTCTGGACCCTTCTGGGAGCAAGGGCTCCTACTGGCAAAGATACTCTGCTGCCTGCCCCACCCCCACCCCAGCCACAGAGCAGAGATGTCTGGGTGACTCAGGGTGAACTGGAAAACTTGCTTTTGTTCAGCTTTTGTGGCTGAAAACCTGCCTTGGCAAAAAGTGCTGGCCTCTGGTGTGATCTAGAAAGTCTGAGGAACACAGGAAGGGCAAGGAGTCTCCACGCTTGGGCGGGTGGGGGTCTCCCAGAGTCGGGGAGAGTAGGAGAGGGCGGCTGGGTACTGATCTCACCAGGTTCCTGCACGTTTTCACCAGGCTGCACACAGCCTTCTCCTGTACTTGTTTGGCTATTGTTTCTCTTTATAAGCAGAGATGTTTAGCCAGGAAACGAGTTAAGTCTGCCAGGTGAGGGATTCTGTCCTTTTGAGATGCCACTGCACCCCATACCCTGCTTTTGTCCCCTGCATGGTCTCAGAAGCAACTTTTGTTTCCTACCATTTTAAACTGCTAAGCTGGAAGTGCTGAGGGGCTTATGGCTCCTAAGATAGCTCTTTTGACTCCCAGCCCCCACCTAAAAGGATTTTAGGGCAATTTTTATGGACTTGGTCTGCAAAGCAAGGGAGAAAGATAAAGGGGTTAATTCAAATGCGTATGCAGGACGGTGTTGGGGTCAGCTCAGGCCCAGAGGCTTCTCCCCCTCACTTCACCCTGCAGCCCCAGGTGGTAGAAGGGTGTGGGCAGTGACCTCCCAGCACACCCAGCCTTTGCAGACTGTGCCAAGGCCTTTGGGCAGTGGGGCCAGCTGGGGTAAGGCCCTTGCCCAGACTGAGAATAAAGTGTGTCCTGTTTCTGGGGGAGGGGAAGAGGGGCCAATGGTCCATGGCAAATATTTGGGAGCTGCTTTGCCAAGGGCTCGTGTCCTGGCCGAGAGCGTATTGGTGGGGAAACAGTGGTGCTGGTCTCAAGTGGTTAATTGGGAAGGCAGAGCAGCAAGGAAACTCAGTGTTCTCTCCCTCTGCCCCAGTTTTTAAGTCATCATCACATCCCCACTGGCAGGGCTAAGGTCGCATGGCACATTAACCCCAGCAGAGCACTTTCTGCAGGATTGCAGGAGCTCAGGACCCAGGAGCAGTCCAGCTGCTGAGGAAAGAGCCCCAGAGTTCTCACAGTGAAATCCCTAAAAGCCCAAAAAAAGCTGGCTATCCAGATGGATAGTCCCTGATTAAACAAAGGCTCTGAAAGGAAAGTTGGGACTTAAAGTTTGCATTATTCTTCTTTCTGGTGCAGGAAGGCAGCACACCCCCCACTTTGGAGGTGAGAGTATTCTCAATGATTTCAGCCAAAGTGTTCCAGCCACTGATCCCTGATTGCTCTAGTACCCAGGGCAGCCTGGTGCACACACTGAAGCTGCCAATCCGAGTCCTGGCCACAGTGGACTCAAATGCAGTTCCTGGAGCCCAGGACAGTGACCCCCTTTCACGACTGTATCGCCAGCATCCTAAGGACTCCCTGGGCAATGACAAAGCTTTGCCAAGGACTTGATAAAGGTAGAAAGAAATCTGTCAGCCCGACCCAACCCCAGCATACCCTCAGCATGGAACACCCTCGCGGTAAGGAGCAAGCACTCACATAACCATCTTCTCCTCGCAGTGCGGGTACTTTGGCTTCATTTCTAGCTTCTTCACATCACTGTAGCGGATCTTAGGGCCCTTCCGGGAGCACTTGCATTTGGACCCTGTGGGAGAGGGCGCAAGGGCTGCTCAGTAGCGCCGTGATCTCCTGCTCCACGTCCGCCTTCAGAGCCCACCCAGAACCCTCCTGGATCCCAGGATGGCTAAGAACTAGTGTTTGAGTTCTCCGGGATGGGATCAGACGGGGACGAAGGGACCTCCCCGCACTCACCCTCCATGCGCGAGGCGCACAGCGCCAGGAGCAACAGGAACAGCGCGGCCGCCAGGAGCCTCATGCTGGCCAGAGGGGTGCAGCCCAGGAACAGAGACACGGGGACCGTGTCGCGGACGGGGACGGGTCGGTGTGGCCCCCCGAGACGCCAACCAGGTGGGATCTGTCGGCTCACAGCGCGCCTCCTGCCCCTGTTCGCTCTGGCAGCGCCAGTCGGTGGGTGTCCTGTGCAGCAGCCTGGCGCTGCGCGCTGCGCTTTGCGATCACTCCACAACTTCCCTCCGCCTGCCCTGGCCTCTTTTAAATCCGCTCCTGCCCTCGCAGCGAGCGAGCTCATTAATATGCAGAACCACTCGGTGACTCACTGAGATTTCTCAATGTGGTCGGGGGAGGAGACCTTCCCAGCCTGCCTGCAGCCCTCCCTGGACTGAATCTCTATCGCCGAGGCTCACATTTGGAGCCACGGGCGCACACCCGCACATTCACACACTCACATCTGCTACCCTCTCGCGCGCATAACTCGCTCTCCTGCACACACTTGCACACTCAGCCCACAGCCTGCACACACTTCCAGGGCAGCCGCTCTGCCTCGAGGAGGCATCTGAAGAGCACCGCGGTTCTCATGCTGATGGGTCCCACTCTGGCCAGACAGGCCTGTTATTCTGAGCCCCGGGGAAACCCAGCAGGGGCCCAGATCCTTGGGGAAGACCTGAAAGAATTGTGGAGCAAGTGCCAAGCTTGAGTGCTAGCAGACCTGCCCCCTAGGCCTGCCTGTTAGGCCAGCAGCCCTGGTGGCCAGAGCGCAGGCTAGGACTAGATAGGCTTTTGCCATAGGCTGTACAGCAGTAAAACCACTGCCTACAACACGGAACCGAGGCAGGACGTGGTGGGGGCACTCCCAGAGAAGGCTCCCTAATGTGGGTCTATGGCCTGGTGGCTGTGTGGCCATCTGAGGGTTGGGAGAACCTGGGCACTTCTCACTTTCAAGCTATTCTCCAAAGCCAAGCAGCAGCCCAGTAGGGAGCAGGCCCTTGCCTGTTCCGGAGGTTGTGTGGGGCTGCAGAATGTAGTGGTGTGAGACGAGCCATGAGGGCCTTCCCTCTCCATTAGTTAGCAGTACAAGTGACTTCATCACTCAAAGACGTTGTTTCATTATCCGTGAAGTGTAGGTAGTCACAGCGCCTGTCACAGGGAGGCTGTGGGAGGTACAACGTTCTTACACAAAGTGCTATAGTGAAGGAGGTGCCCTCGTGCCCAGGAAACATTACTTACTGACATCATTAGTGCATATATTTTATTATATATGAGTATTAGAATGCCTCTTCCAAGTTGGTCCTTTTAATTTCTTTATTTAACAGGTGCAGAAGCAAGCTTAGAGAGAAGCAACAACATGCCCAAGCTCATGGAGGTTGGAAGCAGGTGACTAGGCCAAGAGGGTCCCCGTCTATGTGGCCCCAGAATTGGGGCTCCTGATTTTGGTCCAGTCGGTGGCCTTCACGCCTGTTGTGCTTTCACCTGGTGGTGAAGAGCTTTTGAGAGACACCCAGAGACAGCTGGCGGAGCAGTTCAAGCTTGAAGGGGGCTGGGTTCAGTTTCCGGGCCAGAGCTTGCCCGGCCCTGTGCTGTTAGCCCGGCAGCTCTCTGAGGTACAAGTGCGGGGGAGGGCTTCTGGGGAGAATGGGAGACAGTTTTCTGAGTACCAGCTGCGAAGGCCTCTGCCTTGTATGCCCGGCAGGAGCACATTTGCCGCCAAAAGGTGGGGGAAGCTGAGATCTGAACACCAAGCAGCGCCCGTGCCCGTGGTTGTGTTTGTTTGTGAAGCCAGGCTGCCAGCGGGACGTTTGCATTCAGTGGAAGTTGAGGGCAAAGCAATGAATTTTAGGCATTTATGTTTATTTTCAAGCTGAAAGTTATTTTTTCTTAATACTGACATTTGTTACATAAATAGAAGAAAACACAAGCAGGAAAACCCTGAAAAATGCAAACAGTTTCACCCACTCAGAGATCTAAACCAAGATGATAGCAGCGGTAGCCTTCCAAACCCTTCTTTCTTGGCTTTGTAGGCACAAGTAGGACCAGACTGCATGGTTTGCTTACTAACCTGCTTATTATACCTACCAGTATATCACAGACATCCATCATGTGGCTAGTCTTGCTCCTACCATTGCTCTTTTGAAGCCATGTAGTATAAAGGCTAATAGGGTGGTGTCTGGACGCAGACTGCCTAGGTGTGAATCTTAGCTATTAGTGGTGTGACTTTGGGCAAATAATCCTTTTAGGTCTTTATTTTTTCATCTGTGAGATGGGTATGGTTAATAGTAGCTCAGGCATAGGGGGAATTAAATGAGATGGTGCATGTCAAGCTTTTAATGTGGTTTCCAGAGTAGAGTAAGTGCTCAGTCAGTGCTGATGATGGTTATGTGGATTTCAGATGCAGAGTATCCCTTTGTACACATTACCGGAATTCACTGACTACTCCCTGCTGGATATTTGTATTATTTTCATCCATACACTTTTTTTTTTTGTATCAGGGATTGAACTCAGAACCTTGAGCTTTCGAGGCAGGTGGTAGCACCACTGAGCTAAATCCCTGGCCCATCCATACACTCTTATAAACAGTGATATGGGACAAATATTCTTGTGACTTGGTTTGTGGGTAGTTTTTTAAAAATTGGATATGGTCTTAAGAGTGCCTGAGCCATTGGATATACCTGTTTTAAGGCCTTTAATGCAAATCACTAAACTGTCCCCCAGAAGGAATTTCTTAACCACCAAGCTTTCCCAGAGCATGTGGAATATTTTTATTAATGAAATTTTATTTTAACATATTTGTTTCAATAATATGTTGATTAATTAAGGAGGATCGAAGAAGAAGACCAGGGAACATGGGTGCTGAGTGTTTGTTGGAAATAGTAGGCCCTAAAAATAGAGACCAAAGTTCTCTTTCCTGAGCTAGACCAGAGGCTAGAGATGCCAATTTTAATCTTCAGTCTTTGTGTGCTGATCTTTGCTTTACAAAACACAGATGTTGTATCTTGGCAAATCGCTGCCTCTGTTTATGTGAACTCTTCCGAAGGCAGCAGTAGAGGAAAAGACGGGGTTCCCCACTGCCAGCAGGTCTCTAGGTGATGCTGCCCGACTGGGCAAGGGAGAGTGCATGCCCCGTCATGCCCTCAAGTACAGATTTTACTGAGCCCAAGCTGGGTGACCGGAGTGGGTGTGTGGCAGGGTTAGGCAGGGATGAGGTAGGAGTTCTTTGCACATCAGCATTGCCTGCTTTGAAGACGTCTCCACGGTACACAGAAGGACAAGACATATGGTCACTTTCTGGAGGGCAGCTTGCTGTGTGTGTGTGTGCATGCAGGTGTCCACAGCCTGACATAGGTGTGGGTTTGCAAGGGAGGAGGAAGTAGAAGTAGGATCCATTCGACAGAGGAGTGGAAACTGGCCTGAGCCACTGGTCATTTGCTTATCTATTCTCTCCATACTCAGAGCACCTGCTGAATGCCAGGTGCTTTGCAGGTTGCTGAGAAATTAAGGTAAGCAGAGGCAGGTGTGTGTCTGTTCTCAGAGTAGTGAAATTGACATCAGCCCACAACTGCGGTGGTGGTGGGGGTAAGGGTAGAAGTCCCACAGAGTTAAGTGTGAAGCTTATCAGGGGATATGGCAGGACAAACTGAGGACAGCTTCCTGGAGGGAGTGATACTGGGTTGACTATAAAAGGTGAGAAGGAGTTAACTGGCTGACCACATGGTAGGTAGGCCACGTCTGCTCTTTACAGCCCCTGCTGCTCACTGGATGATCTCTGGCAGGGCCTCCCCTACTCCAACTCTTCCCGGGCTCCTGATCTCATGCGGAGTCCAAGGCAAATCCCCAGCAGTGTCTACCCCTCTGCCAGTACCTGTCATTTTCCTCACTGGCTGTGCTCATCCACACCGCCTTCTCTTATCCCTCAGACATGCAAACTGTCCCCATCTCAGGATCTCTGTGCTTCCCTGTCCCTCTGCCAGCACTGCTGTGCCCCAATGTCCACAGAAAACCCTCTCCTTTCTGAGCCTCAGTACCTGTATCCACTTTTCAGACCAAGCTGCCTAGCTGCCCCAGTGGCTGTCCCCCCAACTGGGATTGAACCCAGGACCTTGTGCTTGCCGGGCAGGAGCTCACCTCTGAACTAAATCCCCAGCCCTTTTTATTAATTTTTAAATTTTGACGCAGAGTCTTGTTAAGCTGCCCAGGCTGGCCTTGAACTTGTGATTTTACTACTACCATGCCTGGCAGCATCACTCTTGATGCCTTGATCTATTTCACTTTATTCATTTCACACGCAACTACCTCAGACCGTGCTTGCTGTTTTCATATTTACTTGGGGGTCATCTTGGGAGATCCTATGATCTGCAAGGTCCTCATCCCTCATGGTGCCTACTACCATGCTTTTCCCTATCTGTTGGGTAAATAGGGCGTGATTCAGGCAAAAAACCCCACAAAAAAACAAAAAGAAAAAGAAAAAGAAAAAAAAAACCAGTCATGTGAAAGGACTGTGCAGAACCAGGCCATGCAGACCATAAGGTCATGTGTGAGAAAGTGCTTATATGCATGCATGTGGAGGGATGGTTATGCAGACCACCTACCCAGGGAAGCCAGTTCCTCTCCAGAGCATAGCGTTTGCTTTAACAAAGCAGTGGCTGGGAGGAGGAATCAGAAGGTGCCTTTCCAGGAAATCCCACAGGTATCTGTTTACTACTCAATAGGCCAGGTTGACTGGTTGTGGCCGGTTTCTTGCCTTTCCAGCTCGGAGACACCCCCACCACCCAGTTCTCTACATGCATGACTGACCTGCTTCTCAGAAAGGAAGTCCTTCTTACTTCCTCCATGGGACAGGAACTGTGGAGTCTGGAACTGGTAGGGGCTGAGGCCCCATCTAACCCTCACTGTATATATGAGAAAACTGAGGCCCAGGAATGAGGTAGGATTTCACATGAAGTCACTCAGGGCATTAATGCCACCCAGGCCTCCTAGCTTGTGTCTTGTTCCTGCATGCGTATGCCAGAGAGAGCTCTTAGGCTCGGGCAACTTGTCTGGCATTGTCGCTACTTGTGACATGGTGGACCCTCCAAAATACCTGCTTTCACTGGGTTGTGTGTCTGCTGGCTCGGAGTCCAAGCCTAGGGGTGCCACCTAATCTTCACCCCTTCATCTGCCTGGATGCCTGTGTCACTGGGGTCTCCTCTGCTGGCTCTCCTCTGACTACAGCCCTGCACCCTGACCCCTTCCCAGGGCCTTGCTCTGCAGCAGCAGACGCAGACAAAGAGCCAAGGTTCCCAAGGACAGCTCCTG